GGGAGCAGAACAGGCAGATATAGTGAAACACATTGCTAAAGGGAGCAATGGACAAGGCAAGGGAGGTCTGTTGTGCCCTAAGCCGTGTTCTGTTAACTCCCTGGTCTGCTGGGGATCCAACTTGTGCTTGCAGTGGCTGGGGATAGCTTGATAGCTCTGTGTCTTTAACCCCTGCAGGATCAGGGAGGTCCCCTGAGCAATCTTCATTTACCCTACAGATGTGCATTAGGAAAATGGGGGATTATGTGGAGTGGTGTGCCTGCTATCTTAGATTTACTTCTCTAGATCTAAACTTCTCCTTTGCTAGTTTTTTTTTTTTTAAGATTATTTATGCATACAGAACTGGGGTACAGGCCAGAGGTTCAGGGGAAGGATTCATTAGAGACAGAGTGGGGAGCAGAACAGGCCAAATGATGAAGTACACTGCTGAGGGGAGCAGCAGACGGGTCAGGAGAGGTCTGCCACACCACCATATGGATCACCTCCAGGGCAGGGATCAAACTCTTGCTGGAGTGGCTTTAGCTTCTTAGCCCTGTGCTTTAACCTGCTGTGCCACTAGAGAGGGCCCACTAGCTTTTTTTTTTTCTTTTCTGGAAGTATTTATAGCTTGGGACATATCAACATAGAGTCTCTTCCCTCTGGATCTAGTTTAGTTCAAATGTAGGTGGTTAAGTGATCTGAAGGGTGGAAAGAAAATGAGGTCAGGGTTACCACTTTTGTAGGACTTGAGGGAAAGTTCATAAGTGAGGGTCCAAATGTCATATTCTATGGGAAACTAATTGCTTAAAAACAAATAATATAGGTTATATCCTCCTATTTGAACTATATTTCTTCATAATGACCTGAAAGGCCAAGTTCAAATTTAAAATTTCCCTGTCGATAAGAGTTCCACACTGGAATGCAGAGACATGTAGAGAGATAGGTGTGAGTCTGCAGCCTAACCAATATTTCTTACACACATTTACCCTACGCGCTCCCCCCGCCCCCCTCACAGAGCCATTCCTTGGTGACTCTGCAGGCACAGGGATGAGCACACCAGTGCTGCTGGCTGCCTGGAGCTAGGGAAGGCCTGTGAAGCAGAAGCAGGGTTACTTCGGCAGGGAAATCCAAGGTCATGGTTATCCAGAGTAGGGTCTACAGGGCAGGGCTTTAGTTCTGGTGGCCTCCCTTACCTCAGTGGACTCTATCCTTGCAGCCAAAGGAGAGTCAGAGCAGAGGTTTCTTTTGCCTGAGTCTAAGAGTGAGTCAGGCTATTCATTTTCTCAACTGCTTTCATTTTAGATCGCCTCAGCTGATACTTGCTTCAGGCAAAGTTACAGGCCTTTTTAAGGCTATTCTTTCTACAGAAACTTGCATTTCCTTATCTCTTTGGACTTTGGGATAGAAATAGCCCATATACTCTTAGTTATAAGTATACCTTCACCACAAATTGCTCAGCCTCTGTTAAACCATCACCAAATAGTTTTAATTTGAATATACCATATGCTTCTTGCTGTGATTATGACTGATACAGCTGGTTCATTCAGTGAGATTTTCTAGCAAAGGTGAAGGTGATGTAGGTCTTGAGGGAAATTCGTACTTATTAGGCAAAAAAAGCCACACAAAAACATCATTTAGAAATTAAAGGAACTTGAATCCAATGACACCATCCTGTGTCAATATTTTTGTCCTGTTTGACATTTGGATATAAATCAGATGACACTTGAAGTTTTTCTTAATTTCACATCCTCTAGTGTTTCCTCATATTATTTACTTGTTTTAAAAGATGTATTTATGTATGCATACAAGAACTGGGGTACAGGCCAGAGGTGTAGGGGGGTTCACCAGAGACAGATTGGGGAGCAAAACAGGCAGATTGACTGAAATATACTGCTGAGGGGAGCAGCAGATGGGTCAGGATAAGTCTGCCACTCCATGTAGGTCACTTCACTGGCAGGGAATCAACCTCTTGCTACAGTGGCTTCAATAGCTTCATAGTGCTGCTCTTTGATCTGTTGCACCACCAGGGAGGCCCCCCTCATATTATTTAGACATTGATAACATATTTGCCACATAGGCTATGATGACTCACATCCTACTTTAAACAAACTTCAGTAATGCATTATGAAGTTATTTGGCTTTCACCCCATGGATGACATATATCATTTACTTTGTTAACTAGAGTTAAAGTTTCAATGTAGACAAAATGTTTATCTGAAAATCAGAGTGAGGGTTTGAACCCAGGAAGAGTCTGGCAGATTTTACTCTATAAGAACTGTTGCAACAATTCCAAGTTCGAGTGTTATTTATATGGGTAGGAACAGTGTGTCATTGACATTAAAAATGTAGTTATTTTTGACAGGGTGGGCTTCCAGTTTTAAGTTGTTTTGACCTAAAGGGATGTTGATTCTGTCTATATGCAGAGAGGAAATGTATGGGTTTAATCTCTTCCTTTTAAAAGACTGCACTGGGAGATGCAAAGGCTGGGAACTCATTGTTTAAATCTTCTGCACATGCAGTTTTGCTAGAGCAGGGAGGGGTTGTTCCCAGAACATTTTACAGTATATTCATAACATATTAGGTTGACCTACTCTTTTTCTCATCAGCTCAAAATAATTAAAGAGATATTATTTTGCACTACAGCAATCATAAACACAAAGGCAAATCTGAGCTCTGAAATCCTGTAGTAGTATTTCATTTTTAGGGAGTCATCCACATGAATTATGCCCATATAAATAATTTTATATTAATTTTTAAGTGACAGAAACATAAAATTGAAAACTTACCCTTAAGAATTACTAGTCTCCTAATCCCTCTCTACTCTGGTATATCTACTTAATTAGAGAAACTTGGATTTTCGTGGCTGCATTGATGTGAGATGAGGGAAAAAGAAAAAAGGATAAACACTCAAAGGGGTCTGGATTGGGTCAATGAGCACATGATCCTATCTACTGAAAGTAGAAGAAAAAAAGATGCTTTCAGGAGAAATGATTGTTGAGTGTGACCAGCTACGGGCAATAATGAGTTCAGTTTGTACAGCCTTACTTGGGAGTTCTGTCAGTACATTCCTTTTTTTGGTAGTCTGACTTGAAGATATTAATTTGGAGGTGGACAACATGTACTGAAAACAAATAGATGCGATCAATCAGGTAGAACATACAGAGTAAGAACAGAAGGTAGCCAAGGGAAAAAAGAGCCTTGAAGAACATAGTTTCTACACAATGGCAGTTTAGTAAAGATTGGGAAGAGGTAAGGAAATCAAAAGGATGTGTTACAGGGCGGGGTAAGGGGCACTCCCAAACCCCCAAACCTGTCTCTCTAAACAGGTTCTGCCATCTGTTGTGTCAAGACAAAATATAATCTAGTGCCTAAGATCTTTGATGGAAAGAAACTTTAATACAGTTAGCGTACAACAACAAGAAAGACAAAGAAAGAGGTTCCAAATCATGTACCCAAAGTTACCCATCCCTTCGTGGGTCAATGCCCAGCCAAACAAGGTTGGCTCAAAGCAGCCACTGAGGCCCAAAAGCCTGCCACAAGTCTAAGTCACCTCCTGTAGGGACCCATAGGAAACGGCAGAAGGGGCCCAGCACATCACAGACAGAAGCAAAAGCAAAATCAAGATAAAAGCTGCCATTGCTAACCTCCCCATGTGTCTCACACCCACTTCTATTTCAACCAGTAGAAGACTAAGAAGCAAGCACAGATTCTTCACATGTCTCTGCTCCAGTGACTCCTTCAGGTCTCCTTGTTTCCCATCTTTCCTCCTTCCTGCTCCAGTTTCTTCTCTACCTTTTCTCTTCCTGCTCAGTTCCAACCCCCTTGCAGTGGGGCAGGGAAACGAACCTCTCCTTTAACTGGGGACCACCCTGTTAAAATCTAGGAATGAAATGGTCAACAAAGTCAGGTACTCTTGAAACTCAAGATTGAAAAGAGTTAATCATCTCTGGTGATTAAGCACTGACTATAGTGAGCAATATCAATGTAGCATGGGGGCAAAGTCTAACCACAGCCTCTAAGAACAAAGAGACATGAGGAAATGTCGGTAGTAACTTAAGACCTTTTACTTTGTTGTGAAAATGTAGCTAGAGGCAACTACAGGCCTTGAAAGCAATGTAAGAAATCTGAGTGGCAAGGGGTGAGATGGAGGAGGACAGAGTCAACAGCTAGCTTATAAATAAAGATCCTAGAGGAGCGGATATCTTCTGTTAGTCAAATGAGAAGATTTCTTAGAGTTTGGAGAAGAAACACAGGTGGAGTTGTAGAGGAGAAGGGAATTGAGAGGCAAAAAACCCTCAGTTTTCTCTCTAGAATAAAAGGCAGGTTATTCTGTTGGACAAAGAAAGGAAGAGATGGGACAAACTACTTGTTGGGGGGAAGGGTTAGGTGGGGGTGCTGAATGTTTGATAGAGAAAATTGCTCCGGAAGAAGTAAATAGGATTACTGAGAAGTGCTGAGGGAATTTCGCTATGGATTTTAGGAGGCACTCAAAATGTTCCCCTCCAAGCCTGATCTGCAGGATGTCTTGATATACGAGGCACCTAGAAGAAAAACGAAAAACGAAGGTTGACTTCCACCTAAATCTTTATTCCCAGCGGCCCAGATACATGGACACAAAGGTGTGTGTGAGTTTCTACCATCCATTTAGCTACAAAGCACCCACAGGGCCTGTGTCATTGTATTCTGAGATTGCAGTGATATACTTTCAACTTCCCAAGGACCTTTCGGAAGTCGAGCCATTTTTAAAAGGAGTGGGTGAGAAGCCAGGAGCTGAGACGAAGGAAGGGACCCAACCTTCCTTCTGATTCAAGGGAGGAAAGGTGGGCGGAGGCTCAGGGTCCAGCTCCCAGCTGCTAACCGTGGAGGAGGAGACCCGACCCCGCGGCCAGGAGGAAGCGCCTCTGCCATTGGCCCAGCGGTGGCTTTACCTGCTCGGTCCACCCGAGGGCAAAGTCCGCTAGGCTCGGCGGAGGAAGCGCAGGCCGACTGCGCAGGTGGGCCACCGCCCTGGGCCAGGCAAGATGCCCCTGGGACTGCGGGGTAAGAAAAAGGCCGCGTCCAAGGAGACCGCCTGTTTGGTGGAGTGCAGGAAGGCGGGCGGCGATGGCGGCGGCGGCGCTGGCTGCAACAGCCCCGGGTTCCCCCAGCCCCCCTCACGGCGGCTGGCTTTCCACACGCAGCTGGCGCACGGCAGCGCCACGGGCAGAGTGGAGAATTTCTCCAGCAACCGGGAGCTTTATGAGAAGATCGCGGGCGTGTTTGAGATCGCGCCATCCGAGGTAAAACAGGTGCTCAGCCTCCCTTCCGCGCGCCTCTCTGGCTTAAATTGATCACGGGCAGCTTGGTTCGAGCTTCAAGGGACCCCAAGCCCGCGCCTGGGTGGGGTCCAACCGAAGCACTCCAGGGGAAGTGAGCGGGCCTTTTTGGGCAGCGAAAAGGTAAGTACCGGGATTGGACAATCACTTTCCCGGTGCAGGGAGATCCAGCTTCTAGGCAGCCGGGAGCGACCTTTCTTCTTCATGCTAGTATGTTCCATGCTGTGGTTATAGCTGTTCCGGCGTGAGCGCCTTCCCAGAGTGGAGAACTGAGTAGGCATATTAATATCCTCTCTACCCTCTTTCATCTGGACTTGATTCTGTTTTATCCTCTGCAGGGGTGAGGGTCACGCTCAGCATCTCCCAGATTAAGAAAAAAATTTAAGCGAGGTTGTTGGGGGTTGGGGGGAGTGAGGTGGTTGGGCCGGTCACAATGCCTATTGGGTGATAAACGGAGGCCCAAACTTTGCCCTGAGTTTATCTAGTGTCAATGCCAGTACCTTTTATGGCATTTCTGAGAAATTTATTCCCAGGAAATTTTACTTAACATATGAGACTAGTTAAGAGTTTCAGAGGGGAAATGACCTCTACGGTTTACACCTCATCCTTGAAAAGGGACTGCATTTTGCTTTAATTAGGTTGATTGCTTGCTTTTAGGAAACTGGAGTTCCATAAAGGCATCATCTCGAACACTAGTTTGAACACTAGTTTGAATATTGTAGTTTACGTGGCTACTTTATGCTTACCGAAAAGAATTGCAAATTGAGGTGTGTGAGTTTAAGAACATCTTTCGTATCCACATTCAAGAAAGACACAACATTTTGTTGTCCTGGACTCCCCAGAGTGCAATGGCTTGGCAGCCATGTTCAACATTTTCAGTTTCTAATGCACTGACTTGCAAAATAAAATTCTAAGATAAAAGGTGTTTTGATGTGTAATATCAAACTTCATAAAGAATGTCAAATATATGTATATTAGTATAGTCAACATTAATGCCAGTTTTCCATTTGCATTAAAAAGAATAAGTATATTTATGATAAAGTATTTGTCATCATAGTGTATTATATCATGGGTATCTTAATAGTTAACTTTGAAAAGAAGTAGCTTATTAAAATAAATTGGAACCAGTGAGATCACAGTTCCCATGCTCTCAGCAAGAGGAATAGTAATATAAATTTTAGAGATGTCAGTGGGGACAAAACAAAAAATTTCCCACTTTAATAGGTTGAATAGATGTTTCATTTAAAGTCTTACTTTTTCTCTAAAGAGGTGATTGTAAGGATATAAATAGCAGTATATAAAGAGCTGTACTTCCTTTAGGAAGAGGGAAGAAACTGGTTTGACCTGATAATCAAATGGAGCATATTTAGCTAAATATACTGGAGTTCATAATGGATCCAGGACTGTGGTATCATGTAAGCGTGTAGTGCATCCTTGCCATAGCACAGGATTCAGTTGAAATAAGTAAGGCTTTGAGAAGTTCAACAGCTTGCTCAGAGTCTCTGGGCTGGTATGTGTTGGAGTCAGGATTTGAATTCAGATTTTCTGGTTCCACAATCACTACTAAGTGATATGTCATTCTTAGTAACTGTATTTAGATATGGTAAAACTTCTTTTAAACAAGTTATCTTTTAATTAAAGCCCCAGATTTAACACAAAAATATTTAGTTGTCTCAGAAAAGATGTTGTTTGTAATTGACTATTGTGAAGTAAGAAGCTAATGCAATGTGTGAATCACTTAAAATTTGTTAGCAATTCTGGGCTCAGTCTGTGATCATTACCTTGAACAGATGGCCAATTATGCAAAATCCCTCATAGCTGATAACTAAATGAGCAATTCAGTAAAAAAAAAAAAAGCAAACTAATCTTGTCTAGAAGAACAGTTAACTTATAATAAATGCAGGGATAAATGTCTGAGAAGTTTACTGCCATCTTTTAAAATATCGAGGTTACATAAATGAGTTGTTCATGAAACTCCTGAACTGTAGTCATGAACTTTGTTAAAGGAATATTTTGAATATTTGACCATCGTGTAATTGCCCTGACATGATTTCATTCTCTTACTGTATGGAAAGATTTTGCAAGAGAAAATGAATTTGAAAAGACTTTTAGAGAAATCCGTTTTGTGTTTAGCTGATTTACATATCTAGAATGAAAAATTCAGTTTCTTTATAGAACTCAAAAATTATTTCCTTGGTTATTAATTGGAATATAATAGTAAATAGTTCATTGAATGAATGGATCAAGCAAATATATCACTCCCTCCTTGATGTATAAAACAGTGTACTTGGGAAGCAGAAAAGCAAGAATGGTGACTTTAAAATTTGAAACCATACAAACTCATAATATTTAACATATAAACATGAGATTACTTAAGACAAATCTACTCTTGAAATCTGTCCTCATCCCTTATGCTATTACCTCATTTCTCCTTTTTAGTAGAAGTCATAAGTTGCTGTGTTTAGTGAGATATATTCTGTATCTCCTTACTCTGTTCAAAACTTTCCAGTAGCTCACCATAATCCAAATGCTATCATGGAGTGTGTAGTTCTGTTGTCTAACTTTCCCTTCTGTTCCAGCTTCTTGGTCTCCTGGCTATGCCTTGAACACAGGAATCTTAGGGTTTTTGCACTGGCTTTTTGACTACTAGAACATCATACATATTCTATGTATATTTAATTTGCTTTGGTTGTGTCTATTTTCTTCTTCCATCTACTCAGCTATAAGTTCCACAAAGGCAGGATTTCAGCCACTGTTTACTGATGATAACCCAAGGGCTGAAATATAGCTGGAACTTAAACTATTTGTTAAAAGAAAAAAAAAAAGAGGGAGAGAGCACCTTACAAATACAGTACATGCTTACAGTTTTTCACTATATTTGTATTTACATCCTGCATCTTTGACATAAAATTTTAGTAGCAGTTACAATACGATCTCTTTCGGTAAGTGTTAATTTTTCTTTGCTGTGAGGGGGAAAAGACTGGCTCTGAAGGGGGTAAGAGTGAGGACTATGGACCCTCCCTGGTGGCGCAGTGGGTTAAAGCACAGCACTAAGAAGCTTAAGCCACTTCCGCGTGAGTTCGATCCCCGCCTGCCCTGGAGGTGATCCACATGGTGTGGCAGACCTTCCCTGACCTGCCCGCTGCTCCCCTCAGCAGTGTATTTCGTAGATCTGCCTGTTCTGCTCCCCACTCTGTCTCTGGTGAATCCTCTCACCCTCCGCATCTCTGGCCTGTACCCCAGTTCTGTATGAATAAATAAATAAATCTTAAAAAAAAAAGTGAGGGGTATCACTCATCTTGGGAGAAGTAAGAGGGTGAAATTCTAGATTGGGAAGTTAAAGCTATCAAATGTTTGCATCTCTACAAAATCCAGTAATTACAAACTTGGGGACTATTTGTAAGCAAAATTGCTTCCTAGAGGAATAGTGTTTGGGGAGCTGCTGTGTCAAGCTTCTTAGAAACTGCTTCCTTTTCTCAACCTGCTGGCACCAGTACTCTGCTCTTGTGAAAGTCAATATTCTATATTTATGTGGAGCTTCTGGGTAACATCAGTGTGCTGTAGACTTTTTCGATTCCCAGCAATGCAGATAACTGGCAAATGAAATTGTCTTTTTCACAAATTGGAAATCTGGGAAGAAAAGAGTAAAATAGGGTTCATCACTAACTTAAATATAGTCCCCCCTGATAACTCCCTTCCACCAAGGGAAAACAAACAAAGGAATTGGAATTCAGTATGAATTGTACCATTAAGTTTGTAGGACTGAACCAGATCTAATAAAATTGGGTTGAAAGAGAAAAGCAGGCCCTACTTTTGTTGTAGGGAGAGGGTTACTTAGGCTGGGAAGTTAAATGTTTACTTGTATCAAATGCTTGCATCTCTACAAAATCCAATAACAAAGTTGAGGACTATTTGCAAGAAAAATACTGGCAGTCACAGGTAGGCTATAGCTCTGTTTTATTGGACATAACTGATGTAATAGAACATCAGCATCAGATAAACCCCTCAGTGACTGTGATGGATTAAAATAAAAATAAAACTATAATTTTGTAATAATGTCTAAACAGGCAAAAACATGAGCATTTTCCAAACATGGACCAAGTGCCCCCCCGCCTTGACTGATGAGGGGCTGCTTCTTTTCCAACCACAGCATTAACTGTCATCATTTCTCCCACGTCGTAGCTGGCTTACTAAAATAGTCATAGTTGCCTCCACTTCTGAGAGCATCCTATTCAGAACAAACACATGCTTTAACCTGCCCCCAAATGTAACCGATCAATCTCTTAATGAGCAGCCCAGATCACTCTCTTAATGAACAGCCCAGTTCCCTGTGTTTCAAGGAGGAAGACACAAGATGGGAAGATTCCTGGCCTCTGTTACTGCTGGATTATTGTGGTGCAGATACTAATGAGGCATCCTGAATGTGGCTTCTCTTCTATTTGCTTCTATTTGCTTCCATTTTACCAGTCTTAAAAACCTACAGAGCTGGAAGTTACTTGCTGCTTTAATCCTTTTGGCCTGTTATAATAAAACGCCACTAAGCTAGTGGGTACAAGTAGCATTAATTTACTGCTTCAAGTCTTGGAGACTGGGATCTAAGATTATGGTTGTTATAAGCATGTCCCCCTTCTGGTAAGGGCCTACCTCCTGTTTCATAGCTGGCACTTTCTTGCTATATTCTGAAATATAACAAGAGTTGGTAGCAAGAGAAGTCTCTGGAATTTCTTTGAAAAAGTACCAATCTTATTCACCTTTGGGTTATGATTTCAACAATTGAATTCTTTGTGGGGGACACATTCATCCCATAGCACTTACAAGTAACCCCTACCAACTAAGCAATTGTCTCCTGTTCCTGCCTACCTCCTGCCAACATGACAAAAGTCATGTGTTGTGCCTGCTGCTCTAATTTCATCTCCTAACAAAATATTTACATCTCTTCTTGAGCCTGGAACTTTAAAAAAATT